TTTATTTTCAGGCGCACGCAAAGGCAGTTGGCAGAGTGGTCATTTGAGCACATACCGAAGTGGTTGCACAGGGCGGAAAATAAAATACCCAATAATTCAATCACGAAGCGCCTAGTGGGCACTGACCATACGGTTGACAAAAGCACTGTATTTAAGGTCGTACTTTGGGCAGCGATCGGGCATCTCCTATAGTTTGCGGAAGCCGCTGCAATACGGAGAAAACCAGAACTCTGTAAGCATCTGGATCATGTGATAAACCTCGCACTGCCGTGGGAACGATCGATAAACTCATTCCTTCTCATGCTTCCCCCTTCCCCGTATGACCGACGACTTCCCTGACCTTTGTTCTCCCCCCTCCTCTTTTAATCGCCCTTCACAGGCTTTGAGTGTAACATTCCTTGCTGTATTTACCTAGTACGTTGCAGCCCCACTAGATCGATAGTTGATTGGACAGCTTACCGTGCCTTATTTATGGGCAATGACCACACGCAATTGAATAAGAGATCGCAAAATTTTATGACATCAATAAATCTTGCTAGTCTCGGCACCTTTGCCTTGTTCAAAGGCAGCTACTAAACAACAAACTGTGAAAAGCGAAAATATTCATACAACCAGAAGACGTGCGTTGCCAACGGGATCGAACGGTGTCGAGGGCCCAGCCTCTGGTGTACAAGAGGGCGTGACAGGTAGTTATGCGAATAATCGGCATTTCCTTACCTCAAATAACCGAAATATTTATAGATTGCAGCAAACTGACATGTGTCCGCAGTTCGATCGCTTTTGACGGTGCTAGTTTTCTGGCCAGGTGTCTCCCCATTCACTATAGTCAGCCATGAATAAGCAGCTTTCTAGTTAGTTGGAATGTAAACACTCTCGACAGGTATATCCTGTAATCTGAAAGCATGAACTGACACAGGAGAGCTCTTAGCGATCGACCATGATATCACAGGCAATAGCTAACTGGGCGATGATCAAGCAAACTACGCAATCAACTGCTTCAACATGAACAATTGCTCCAGAGGCAGCGGCGCAAGAAATGTGCCCATACTCGTTTAAGGGAAGAGCAAACGTCCTCAAAAGAGGGGCAAATTGTCACCAGGGATGTCACAATTGACCAAAAACAACGCACTATGACGTAGGGATGGTCACTTTTGGTCTGGATTTTGTTGGCAGTTAGTCGCAACCAGTCCCAGACCAGGCATGTGTGAACTTGGAATTCGCACTAAATAGTCAGTTAGACGAACTATCTACCAGCTCACAATATATTGGCTTCAATTGAAAACATCCAGCAGCGTGGAAACGACGTTCAAAACCTTGGCCGCCTGAAGTACACACCGTAGGCAGTCTGCCTAACTGACTAACTGAAAGCCGTTGGAACCTACAGTCCACAAAGCTGGGAATTAACGCAGGATCAACTGACGAGGGCATACAAGCCAGAGATGAAAACCACGGTCATCCCAATCTTTATGACTACTACTTCTCAACGATGCGGTTGTCAGTACTTCGGTACGACGCCACGTCAAAGAGAATGGAATGGCGACAGGGTGCAGGTTAATTATTAAGCCACAAATGCGACCAATTTCATTCATTTTTTTTTCATTTAAAGTGCAATCGGAGAGGAAAGAGAACACTTACACGTTAGTGTATAATAAAAAAGGTTATACGAGCGTGTGGCGTCAACGCGAGCGCAGGCCAACATTTCAAACAATGCAGTAGACAAGCTGCTGTAAAGTTCAATCACAAAGTATCTGGTAAGCAGGGGGTCGGTTTAAATCGCCAAGATCAGCACTAAAAGTCCACTGCCATACAGGAACTGGTTACCGTCTTTGGGAATAGTAAAGAGGGAACCGGAGTACTGCATATTACGAGGAGACGCCCTAACCGACATGCTCGTACGCCGCCCTATCGATGGCGTGCGCGCCCTGATGACGCGACAGCTCTTGGCAAGATTAGAGCTCTACCCAACCAGTCAGATGAGTCAGAAGTACAGCAGATATGTTTACCACTCAAGGACATTATCCGATTGGTTCGATTTTATCCCAACCGTTGAAATTCTCATATGCTCCCTTTATGTCCTAAAATACGCTGTTAGAATACGTCAATACATCCTTGTTACTAAATCCTAACTTGAGGATTCGATCGAGGCGACTTGTTTGACGGGTGAACATCGAGGCATACGGCAAGCTCATAGCGATGCAGGTAGTTGGATCAAGTAGGCAACCTTGCACTCCCCTCAAAGCAAGTCTGTTCAAATTGTCCCTTTATCGGTCTTCCCCTTTAGACAAGTCCATCCGCATTTTCCAACTATAATTCAACCTTTCGATTCCATAGCATTTCGTCTGTCCCAAATAGTTTTCAAATATAATGGCCACATCTGCGTTAAGAAGACAGGAGAGGAGCCGGCCAGGAACTACGTGACCAGCGTCGAACACTACCTCACAACTACACCCACCAGAGGTTGACATCAACTCACGCGGGCAGCGACAACTAATAAGTCCGTCGGTAAACAAGGGGCAGGCCAGTAGGCGCCAACAATTGCGACAGCCCTAAAGGGGACAAAAGTCACACGAGCCCATCAGCGATCAATCTCATGGTCAGTCAGCAGCGAACAGGCAAGTCACTTTTCGTGCGTTGAACACGGATATAAAACCCAGCAAGCAGCAAGACTAAAACAGCCCCGGCAAACAGGAACAATCACCCGTCACACCGAAGATGGAACCAAGAGAGTGTCCGGAACGTCAGTCTCAATACAATTCGGTCCGTGTTTGTCTTCCTTGGGAGATGATAAAAATGACAAGTGCCATATCTTTACACCTACGAAACAGCCCTTCACAGCTGACTGGGAGTCCGTGAAACTTCAAAATACCACTATTTTTTGGAATGTTTCCGTCGTTTAAAGGTATACCAGAAAGAAATAGTTTTTTTTAAAGACAACGGCGTATGAAATGTTCGTGGGGCAGATTGTTGGGCGAAAGCTGAATGAGGATGAAAAGGCCCATGAGAGGCTAGCACTTACCTGAAGATTTGTGGAAGGGACTCTGGCCAGTTGATGCGGCACCATGCACAGAAGCAGCACTCGCAGCAGCAGCCTCGAAGAAGGGGTCCAAGTCCTCGAATGGGTTCTTTCGAGGGGCGGCAGTAGCAGTAGGGGCACCATCTTGACCAATCAGATTTGAGGAAGAGGCGGACTGATAGAGATGATGCGGTGATGCAGTGGCAGGTCCGGCAGTAGTGAAGGAAGGGCGTTCAGATGAGAGATTGGAGGCACTACTACTGGCGTGCATTGTCGAGCCACCATTGACGGTTCCCACTGGCTTCAACGCAGCAGTGCCGAAGGGATCGAAGGCGGCGGTTGGCTCCTCCTCA